AACTGGTGGTTGGTTAAGTCTTTCCTGTCCTTATTTACAGACTTAGCTTCCTTAATACCTCACCTTATATATGGTGTGATGAGCTTGTTTATGGAGCAAAGTGTCTTAGGAAGTTTACTTAGTTCCTACCAGTGTCTTACACGCAGAAGTTGCTCAAAATTTACTGCTGATATTGAGCCACCCAAGTGTTAATGAATCTAAAGAAACTTATTTTAATCAAACAACCCATAGGTATTGCATCTTAACCTAAGAAGAATAACAGTTTTCTTCATAGTGTTCCACTGGCTCAAAGTATTTCTATTTACTTTCCCCCAAAAAACAAAGGAGCTTCTTCATTTTCCCAGAAATACCAAGGCCTCATTTCTGGAACCAAACATTTTTTTACTGGTTCCTGCCTTAATACCAGTATATTTGGTGTAGGGTAAGTCTGGAAGCCCTCATCACCAGAACTTCTAAGAACAGCCTCACAAAGCACTTAAGCTTCAAAGGAGAGATCACGTTCGGTCACGTTAGGGAGCTGATATTGGCATGGCTTCCCTTACTTCACAAGAGCCAGTCCATCTCCAAGAGGAGGACTGCAGAAGTCTCAGAGCAGCCCTGACACTGGCTTGCTTTTAGTTCCCATCTGAAACAAGCAGCGTGGGGCATGTGCACTATATGATTGGGCAGGAAGGCTGAGAGGAGCATGTCACTTTTGTAATATACAACTGAGCATTAGGAGGGCATTCTAATGTTCCAATAATATACATAACAGGAAGTGTGGGTACATTCAGTGACTAGAAAAACAATGAAAAAAGACTCAAAGGCTGTCTAGGTATTGTATGAGCACCCTCTAAGGAAGCAGTCTTTATTTGCATTTTAAGAGTGAACACATGAAAAATGCTGCAAACAGATAGACAAAAAGCTCGGTCCCTTTTTAACTGACTTCCTGGGATAAAGTCAGAGACATCAGCAAGCAGCACAATGCAAACATAAAGATTACCTATGATTCACCTTAGTAAATGATGTGGCCGGATTGCAGCCATTTCCAATAAGTGTCTTCACTCAAGGTAAATACTAAACAAATTGCCAAGGTGTGTATTTGAAAATGTGATGCTGAATATACTGGCCTCGTGTGCGGAGAAGGAATTTTGGTTAGACTATGACAAAAAAGGCAGATGGTTATGTGGACTCAAAAGCACAATTCTTTGTGACTGGGAACATTTTACTGGTAATGCCAACTGTATGATACAGAGTTCAACTGGAACAGTAGTTTCTCTTCCCATCCCGAAAGAAGCTCAACAGATAGTAAACTGAGGCAAAACAGGCGGATATTGTTTACCAGGTCATTTCAGTGCAGCCTGTGGGAATGAATACAAGGCCGGAGTGAGGGTGCCCTCAGGTGTATTCCCTAGGGTTCTGTATGTTGTGCGATGGTTATTTACACAAGTGTTAGACAAAATAGTTAACTACTAAAGGTATCCAAAAAAGGCCTGAGAAAATCTGGTTAAAATGTATAACCTTGTATTGCTACTGATGGGAGTAGTCATTCTTTATATCTTTTAAAAATAATAAAAAGATTCTGTTAAAAAATATATTTATCCAGAAAGATGTTGATTTGAACTCTAAAAAGCAATGTGGAATCATCGTTTTCCCTTCTGAATTCAGGGCCATTGAGTTCTGTTTGTAGTTCCCTTTTTAACTTCCACCCCTTCCTCTCCAGTGAGCCGAGAGCATGTAGTGGGTCTTCCTAGGCCTCTACGTGGACGTCCTGTACTAGAGGCAGCCTGGAACACACACACTTAGTTTGGTTCTATGCTGTTCTGGTATTTTGGACAGCCTGCCCACTTCAAGAACAAAGCTCAGGTTCTCCTCCCTGTTTCTTCAGGGCCAGGATTAGCTGCCTTGGATTTCACCTGGAGGATCCTGCTCTCAAAAGAACTGCCTTTACAAATTCAAATCAGATCTCTCAACAAGTGGAGTGAGGTGGTTTGAAACTATTAGTAATTTTTAAGGCTAAGGCAACATCTGTGGTTATTAGTACATCTTAATTTGATGCAAATAGTTAACCCTAATCTAAAATAGATCCTTTACGTATCTCCTCTTTAATTTTAGCTGAGGGTGAAAGGAATAGAATATGGTGGAGATGGAGGAGGAATAGTGACAGTATCCTAGAAACCCTGTAAAAATAAAAGAGTAGATCGGCATAGATTATCCGTTTCTTTGGTGAAGTGTAAAGAAGTATCTCATAAATTTTCATAAACCACACTCTACAAAGGCTGCTGTTCTCACATATAAAAGCACCCTGACTCTGCAATAACTTGTTTGGTTATCACTCCTTGGTAAAAATTAATCTACAAACCTGCAGGGATTGGGGTTTTTGTCTAAAGCTGGTAGTAAAGATGTGACCTGCAAGCCAATACAGCTAATGGAAAGTGATGATGCTCTCCTCCCCTTAGCCTGGAGATGGGGCCTGCCAGTCCCCAGCCCCTTCACCGGGAGTGTCGTGGATGGAGCTTGGAGTCCCTGGTCCTGCACCTCTGCGTAAAGAAGGGGACAGCTGCCTTCTGCTGTGTACATGTAATGTACAGTCCCTCAGCCCTAAGGCCCTGGTGACACAGCACTCGCCTACAGCCCAGAGCCTCTGCTTTGTGCAGTGTGTGGGCAGAAAGGTCTATTTCTCCGTGAGAGACAGCTGTAACACTTGCTGGAGCTCCGCCTCCTCCTCCCGTAGCCGCAGCTCCTGCTCCTCCAGCTCTTTAGCAGAGAGCTCCATGGCCAGCTGCAAGTCACTATCAAAACGGCTTGTCTCACTTGAGGCACCAGGGCACAGGCTTTCCGAGCTGGTAAGGAGGCTTTCCTGGATGGCCCTGGGTTGGAAAAAGAGGGGAAAAAGAAATAGTGATAACCATCATCATCATGGTAGCACAGCAACTACATTTCTTAACTGCTCACCAAGTACAGACTATGCCAGGCAGTTTATATGCTCTCTATGTGCATGATAACACTCAATCTCACATAACTCTGGGGGCGTAGGTACTATGACAAACTGGAAGCTCAAAGAGGTTAAGAAACCTGCTCAAGATCACTCAGCTACTAAGTAATGAGGCTAGGAACTGAACTTGAACCTATTTTAAAGCAAAACTCAAGTTCTTTAACAGGTTTTCACATATGCCCAAAGTATAGGAAAACGCTTCATAAAATGAACCTTTCTGCTTTCCCTCTCTTTAAAAAAAAAAAAGAAAGAAAAAATCTAATCATCCCTGTGGCTCTCCCCCAAAATGTCATCATCCTTTAAATTATATAAACTTCCCATGAGGGCATCTAGACCCTGTGTGATCTATCATACAGTCTTCTCAGGTCAGACCAATCAAAAAACATTTCATCAAGGCCTGTCAGCCAATGACTCTGGCCTGTAAACAAATCAGCAATTCTATCACCCATTCCTGGAAACTCAGACACCAAGAGATTAAATTAAAGCTATTTTAATAAATAACTGCCAGAAGAGGAAGAAAGAGAGCTAACAAACTTTATCAAGTCTCTCCTGCCAGGCACTATGTTGCATATACAAAGCGCCTGTGCCAACCTCAGTTTAATCGTCAAGAGTCATGTCAATCACCTCTCATACTGGGAGTCATAGGCATGTGTCTCGCTGATCCCTCCATTCGAAGCTGGTTCCTACGAAAAACAAGCATGACAGACATGAATACCTCTTAGAAGAAAGAGGTGTCATACTGATAAGAAAATGAAAGCAGTGAGAACAAAATAAAAAATATTTACATGTTCATTATTCATAGTGCTACGTGGAAAACCAACAGGAATTTGGGTTATCTCTAAAATGACACCTACATGTCAGGTAGTATGTGGTACACTATCCCAATGAACAACTTTTCATTCTTGACACAAAAATCAATTTAAAACAGCTAACTTAGGCAAAATTTAAATGAACAAAGCAGGTTATTCTTCTGGAGCAAGATTAGAACACACAATTCTATATAGTCACGTGCCACATAACAGGGTTTTAGTCAAAGACGGACTGTATATATAATGGTGATATGTAATATAGCCTTGGTATGCAGTAGGCTATACCATTCTAGGTTCGTGTGAGCGCACCCTATGATGTTCATAAAACGACAAAATTGCCTAACCATGCATTTCATATCCCCATTGCCCATCATTAAGTGGCACATAACTGAATTTGTCATCTATAACTCTGACTACTTCCCTTTGCAAAATTTATGGTCAACAAGGTTTATGTAGATATTGGAGGGTCGGGGGAAGCTCACCTATATAGAGAAAGAAAAAGCATACAGGACTGACAGTCATGTCCAGAGGCTGAGTCTTCTCCCAGGAGGCCTCCCAAAGGGACTATGACAATTGTGGGGTCTGGCCCCTGGCCCAGCAGCCTCAGAAAACTGAATGGCTCCGAGAACGGGTCCAGACGAAGGGGATGAGAGGGGCTCACATTACCTAAGCTCTGAAGCTCAAGAATGAAGCCAGAATGTCAAAAACCTGAGCTGGGGAAAGCCACAGGAGGGAAAGGCTGATGATGGGAGAGGAGGACCTCAATCCCCAGACTGTCCCTGGCAAGTGAAGCCTGGAGTAGGAACCACATCAGAAGACAAAAGGCAACTGTTCTTCTGTTGGTCTGTCCTGTCCTTAGCTCTACTTTTAGCTAGAGACTCAGAGAGTTTGGGATTCTATCCCTTACAACAGAATAAAACATCTGAGTGAAAAAAAAAAAAAAAAAAAAAAAACAAAGAACCGACCAACGTTTACATCACACCCCTTTCTGATTGGTCTTCCTTGGGGAAAAAGTTGAAATTAAAATCTGCATACCTTCATAGGAGACTACTGAGACATAGATAATATTCTAGGAAAAATATGATGGTGCAAACTAGCATGAATTTACTATTTACGTACTAGAAATCTATACAGCATACTCTTGAAAGACGCATGATTATTAGCTACATGGTGAATATGAGAAAAAGGAAAGTCAGGAGACATGTTGTGAATGACACTGATGGGGCTATACAGATTATATGAGATATATGTCTCACACAATAAGCTTTTGTAAAAGACCGGGTGTATAAAATACAAAATAATCTCAATTGATATCATAAATATGCCAAACTTGTTATTTAAAGTAAGTCTTTCAGCTTAGTTAAAAACTGAGGCCAAATTGGAGGGCCCTGCCATTTATTCTGATAAATGTACCTGGCTCCTGCTGGATTCCAGTAAGCTCTGCTGGATGGCAAACTGCATTATCTCATAATCTTCATCCTGCAAATGCACGTCTCTGCCATTGTCCTGAATGTGGTAAGATTCAGGAATTTCAAACACAGACTGATCAACCTCAAAGTCTGTGACCGGGGTAGCTGAAATACAAAAGATGACAGTCCAGTATCTGAGTCAGTAAAATAAATTTCCACTTGGACTTTGTATAAACATTTTTAAATTTTAAAAAATGAAAAGATTAAAATGATTAAAATCAAGTTTGCAACTATGTGAGAGATTTTGAGGAACAATAATCTTGACAGATTCAGCCAACATTATACTTAATGGTAAAAACCTAAAAACTTTCCCTCTAAGATCAGGAACTAGGAAAGGCTGTCCACTATCACCACTGTTATTCAATATAACATTGGAGGTCCTAGCAAGTCCAATCAGGCAAGATGTAAAAGGCATCCAAATAGGAAAGAAAGAAGTCAAACTGTCACTATTTGTGGATGACATGCTTCTCTATATAGAAAACCCTAAAGACTCCACAAGAACACTACTAGAAACAATAAGCATATACAATAAAGTTTCTAGATACAAAATCAACATTCAAAAATCCACAGCATTCCGATACTCAAATAATGAAGTGTCAGAAAAATTGGAAAATATAATTCCTTTTGCAATTGCAACAAAAAGAATACCTAAAAATAAATTTAACGAAACATGTGAAGGACCTATATAATGACAACTACAAGACCCTATTAAAACAAATCAAAGAAGATACAAAGAAATGGAAAGATAGTCTGTGTTCTTGGAAGAATCAACGTGGTTAAAATGACCATATTACCTAAAGCATTATACAGATTTAATGCAATCCCCATCAAAATTTCATCAGCATTTTTTAAAGAAATAGAACAAAAAATCATCAGATTTGTATGGAAGCAAGACCCTGAATTGCCAAAACCATCCTGAGAAAAACGATGGCTTTTTTCTCAGGAGGCTGGAGGCATCACTCTGCTCAACTTCAAATTATACTACAAAGCAACAGTAATCAAAACAGCATGGTATTGACAGCAAAACAGACACATAGACCAGAGGAACAGAATCGAAAGTCCAGAAGTAAACCCATAGTTATATGGGCAAATAATTTTTGACAAAGAATCAAAAACATACAATGGAGAAAGAAAAGACTCTTCAATAAATGGGGTGGGGAAAACTGGAAAGC